CTGAATATATGAAATTCACCAATGAAAGTACTAACTTAACATATGAGTGATCATATCTTACATATTTAACATGTACATTCGTGAGCACTTATTGTTTGTTGATTATGTTAAAAAATTATGGCCTATGAATCAGATTCACCAAATTATGTGTATCACCATTTGATTCACCATTTTTATTCGGTGTGAAATGTCATCTAAAAACATTGAGGGTATCTACAGTGTTTCAATAACAAACAAAAAATTATATATTGCAGAACCATGAAGCATTTTATTCATTTAATCACAAACCGCCAATGACTACAATAGTAATATGAACATTACAAGCCTTTTTTCTCTGAATTTAACATATTTATATCTCAACAAGCAATGTCACTTAGTAATTGATCAATATAAAATGACGAAATAACATACCTAAACCAAAACAAAATCCTTTGATTTTCCATGATCTCCCTCATCTGCCAGCAGTCTTTGATAGATTTAAATCAGGATATGATTCGCTCTGATAAAATAAATAAAATGAATAAGTACTGCTCTAGGTATAAAAAATAAATGTCAATAACAACTCCAGGTAACCTCAAATGTCATGCTATTGTGGCGAGGTTAGCTCTTGGTTGAGATAACTTCTTGGGGATGTTTTTGGCCGTTCACCTTGCAATGCTCAGAAATTCCAAATCGTCTCCAGACATTCAACTGGATGAGCGTCCATATATAATGTGCAATGTAGAGGATATTCTGAATAAAATATTCACATGACAAATGAAAGTTCACAAAATATATTAATAAACAGGCATCAAAAGTCTGACATGACATTATATGATATAAGAAGTGCATCTTCAAAGAATAATACAACAGTATACTTTCTTATGTTTCATTGTTACTGAGATTATAAAGCATTGACTATGTTCCAAAATGTGATGATTCACAAGAGCAAATGAACACTTTTTAGTCAATATTATATTTGAAGTATACTGCAATTTCAAGGCAACAACTAAAAATTAATAAATATTACCCATTCCAAAACAAAATAACTGATGCTGTTTTGAAGCTGAATCTGCCTTTTGTCTTGTAGTTTCAAAATCTGCAATCAATTCTCTGAAATAATAAAAATAAGATTGTTGAATTATGCAAAACAAACAATGGAGCACACACTACATTTAATATTGATTTATGCATAATTATCAGTTACCTTAAAGTCAACTTGTCATATCGTCGAACTTCATCTTCTGTTAGTTTATCAGGATATTTGGTCCCAAGATCCAAACATTCAAAATCACTCCATATTGTTTTTAAACACGGTACAGGGTGAGGTCCATAATACTTTACACAGAGTTGTGGATATTCTGAGAAAAATAGTCAATTATTAAATAATCAAAATTTAACACATCATAACAGCAATATAACATAAGATACTGACCCATTCCAAAACATTTTTTTTGATGCTCAACATTACCATTATCTGATTCAAGAGCTGATGTATTGAACTTTGTAATTAATGGTCTGTTACAATGAAATATTAATAAAAGCATTTTATTATACAGAAAGAAAAATTGTTATCATGAGAGTAACCCGCTTGATTTTAAACTTGTTTAAACTTGAAGGTTAGTTATCATTGAAAATTCTACATACACATAGAACATCGACAGCAATATATGAACGAACTTTGATGATGTAGTGAGGATGGTTCCATTCCAGAACTTGCATTACATCATAAGTCCCATAAGGCAACATGCTATGTTATGTAGTTTATGATATCCCATTTTTAACAATGGTGATAACAAAATTTAAATATACTGTCTATGGAGTGAATGTTTGAAAATATCAAAGTAACACAACACATTCAAATTATTCACAAGAATTGTAAAAAGATGAAGTAGATCTAATACATAGTCAGCAAATTTTTCTTCCAGCATTTAGATGTGTAAAAGATTAAAAACAGGCTTCATACCTCAGACCCATTTCAGTAAAAGCTGCTACAGCACTTTCAGATAATTTGTGAGGATATTCATCACCTTCTGGTACGCATCTCACTGAAGTCCATATTGTAGTTAGGCATTCAACAGAATATGGGCCATAGTACTTATCACAGTGGTTAGGATATGCTGAAAGGAATGTGACATGAATTTTATTTTTAATGTGTTATGCTGCTTGAATAGTACAAACCAAGAATAAAGGAAGGAATCATCAAAATATGATCCATTAACTACACTATTGCAATTAAAAGTTACAGATTCATATACATGCATATGCAGGCGTTTAGACAGTATACATACATCTTGTTATAATAATGCCTCCTAGTCATGGAAAAACAGAAATATGAATTCCTATTAAAAATATATACAAAGACAAAGCAATTGTTTGGTAAAACTCACGCAATCCAAAACAATAGTTCTGATTATCTACATTTCCACTGTCCGAAGCAGATTTCATTCCATTAAATTCACCAATTATTTCTCTGGATATTACAAATAAAAAACAGATGAGAATACTTGCCTGATCTGATTTCTAGTATCATAAATATATATTCAAATTGATACTAACATACATCGTAAACAAAAGGTTGTATATTTTTCAGCTTACAGTTTTTCTTTTATTTAACGGGCCACATAGTTGGAAATATTTAAATACGTTTTCATATTTATTGTGCCAGTATAATATTATAAAAATGACAATCTTCAGATCCGATCAGTTCAGGATAGCGAGCCAATTTATTACTTCATTATACACTCCCCCACCAGGTGTTTATTAAGACTTTATTGTGGTTTAAAAACAAGGAACTCCATGTTATGGTCGTCCTGCACCATACAATACCAGCATGCCATACTCGGTGCTGTATAAAGAGAGTCCTTGTAAAAATTTACTCATACTTTCTGTTTAATTGTTTCGCATGTTCAACCTTTTTTACTTCGAAAGACAATAACATGAAAGATCAGAAACTTTCTTTTCATATTTCTACTTCTGCACATGTGAAATAATTATCGTCGGCTTTAAATACATAAGAATTTGAAAGAATTTTCACCTCAAATTTTTTCCATCAAGATGAGTTAATTCGGGTTGTTGCAATTTCTTTGGATGTTTTTCCCCTTCTGCTATACAACGTGCAGATGTCCAAATTGTTTCCAAGCAGTTGACAGGATGTGGCCCATAGTATTTCACACAATGCAATGGATACTCTGTAACAAAAGTTGGAGATTGAATCATACTTTGATATGACCACATGTCAATGATGGTCATTCTACTCACCCATCCCAAAACAAAAATTCTGCGAATTTTTGTCATCATTATCAGATGCATCTCTTATAGTCTTGAAATCTGCTGTGACTTCTCTGAGTATTTAGAGAACAATGACAAATATTATTACTTCTGTATTTTGTAACAAAATGTTTGTGAATTACCTAAGATCAAGTTGAAAGATTGTTGAAGTAAAAAATGACAAAACGAAAAAAGAAGAGAGATGAAAGTGTTGGAATATTATACATGAGTCAGAATAATAAGTGGTATGCTAATGAAAATGAAGCTAATATAAAAGGTTTATTAATTAACATTGAATGCAACAATAACACTAAAATGAATTTTCGCCAAAAGCATATTTGAGAATAACTGCTTTTACCGTATATTAAGAGCATTGATTCTATCAAGGTCATTTTGTGGAAGCTTAGATGGGTGTTTAGTCCCCTGATCCACACACTCTAAAGTTTCCCATATTGTTATCAAACAAGCAACTGGATGTGGGCCATAATATTTATCACATCCTTCAGGATAATCTGTTTGAAAAAAAAAATCATATTTGAATTTGCACAAATCTAGTGGTGAGAAAAAAGCTTTTTCTGCGGCAAATACTTCATACAATGATGTTTATCAAGAGTAAGCCATAGAAATAGCAAGAAGATTGCAACAACACGCTACTATCAGGACCAGCAATTCTCAGGTAACATATGTTTTGCACACAACTAATATGACTAAATGCTCTTCAAAGTTTCAAATTTAGATTAAAAAGATGTACACATCAAAGTAAAGCTAAAAAACAAATATGGATGTAAATGTGAACATGTTATTATTTACATACTACACATCGTAAATGATAAATAACATAAACTGGTTTTTCTATGATACCATTAATGCCACAAAAAAGATATATCCAGGTAGATTAATAATACATACCAAGCCCAAAACAATATTGTTGGTTTTCTACATCATTAGAGTCAGCAGATGACTTGATGTTCTTGAACAAACTATCAATCTCCCTGTTGCAAAAAACATGAGATTAAGTACTTATTCTAAAGTTTGTTAGTCATATTTCTGCACAGCGTCTAATTATAAAAATTTAAATTTTTTAGGAATCACTATGTTGAGTAAAATAAAAACATGATAATATCGAAAACTAAATGAAAAATAGAATGAAACCTCAAATTCATTTTATCATATTGCTGCAGTGTAGAAGAGTCAAGTTTAGGTGGATATTTTGAACCTTCAGACAAACATTGAGCAGCTATCCAAATTGTGTTTAGACAATCAACTGGATGAGGTCCATAATACTTAACACAGTGTGTTGGATATTCTAAATGTGTAAATATGTATGATTAATTTTTCATTCTCACCTACATTTCCATATATTAATATTGACTATTATATACAACAAAGCCATTTCAACATATCAAATATGCAACTCATTAAACGATCGATTCAAAGACCAATGCACAGAAATAAACTAATTCTAGGATACAACTGTAGCATCTAATTTCATAAAGATTTGTAGTATTAATTAATACAAGACTGAATTAATTAAATTCAAAAATTACCAATTCCGAAACAAAAATTCTGATTATCTTTGTCATTTTCATCAGCCAAACGTTTGATGTTTTCAAAATTAGCGATAACCTCCCTGAAAAAAAATAAAATATCCTGAATCATTGAAATTCTAGAGATTACCGATACATTCACTCGAAAATCATGAACAAATTGATATGATATAAATTTTGTATCTAAGGGTCCAAACAAAATGCTCACATAAACATATCAAGTGTCTTGAACATATGTGCTAAAAGTTTGCAAGCAAGAACTAATCCACTGTATAAGTATATAATAATTTCCTTTTTGTTAACAATCTCAACTAAATATAATTTTCCTTTTTGTTATAAGATCATAATATTTCCATAAAACCACACATACCTGAGGGTTAATTTATCAAGTTCAGATAATTCAGCTGGTGGCAATTTCTGTGGGTATTTAGAGCCTTCTTTGAGACATTCGGCAGTTCTCCATATTGTTTTCAAACAATCCATTGGGTGAGGACCATAATAGTTTGTACAACCTGATGGATATTCTGAAATGATACATTACATATATTTATTATGCATAATATTTATATGAAATAAAATGACTGAAATAACAATTGAAACATAATGTTACAGAGATATCAGACAGAAAGCATACCAATGCCATAGCATCTCTTTTGTGCATCTACATCTCCTTTATCTGCATTTATTGCTGTAGTGTTGAATTCATTAATAAGTGATCTGAATAAAAAATCAAAATTCCATTTATAACTATGAAAGTTAGTTCTGGATGACTTGAAAAGGAACGAAAATGGAAATGATTGTGAAACTTCAAAATATAAATTTGAAACATGACCATCGAATTATAAATCTTTGTATTATAAAGTTTAACCTAGTGGTTTTTATCATACCACTTGGGCAGAAAAACAACTTAAACTAATTACAGAAAATGAGCAGAATTCAGAAAATCCAATTTAGGATGATTCAAAAGCTTACTTCAGTCCCATTCCATTGAATGAATTCTTTTTTTCTTGCAAAAGTTTCGATGGATGATCTGAACCTTCTGGCAAGCACTTTACAATTTTCCAAATTGACTCCAAACATTGTTCAGGATAAGGGCCATAATATTCATCACAATGCTGAGGGTATACTACATAGAAATTATTAATTACCACATTAGTATTATAAATTTGTCAATATTAAGACACCTATTAAGTACATATTACATCAGAGAATCAGTATGATTATATTCGAAGCAAAATGTTAATTAAAGTAGCAAACTAACTTTAATATTTCACTGTTTCAAAAACTTTGGACGAATGAATTAAATATTTTGAATTACCTGTAAAATAAGACAACATCTTATTTTAATTTTTATCAGTCAACTAGACTCATACACAATAAACTTTAAATGTGAATTATCGTTCTTCTCCCATTAGTTATCTATATATCAGTGTTTGCTACATAGGGATTAAAGTAAATCAAACACTGAATTGAAATGCATTTATAGCCGATTTAGACATATGATTTAATGCATTCTAGTGATGAGAAATACCTTGACCAAAGCAGTTACGTTGACTTTGTGAATCTCCATTATCAGCAGATTGTTTTATTTGATTAAATTTTTCAACAATTTCTCTGCAAATAAGCACTAAAAAGTTGAATCAGTGTAAAAGGAAAAAAATAAATGGCCGCATAGGCCGTCATGCTTGTGGCAGAATAAAAATGGTATTCCGTGAATAAAATTTTGGATGAAATATCAGATCTCATAGGATGCATAGAAAATTTGGGAACAAATAAAAAGTAATAGTCTTCTAGTGACAACGACAATCTTTCACCACTGAAAATTTCAAAGCAATTGGTCCAGTAGTTAAAGAGGAAAGTTTTTTTTCCAAAAAAAAATTACAGTAACAAGAATTCTAACAACAACAATATAATAACAAAACAATCCATAGCAATTGTTGAACCAAAACACAACAGACTACCTTATATTCATCCCATTGTACAGAGTTAGCTCTGTTTGTGTTAGTTTACTAGGATGTTTCTCGCCACCAGGCAAACATTGAGCAGATATCCAAATCGTTGTTAAACACTGGACAGGATGTGGTCCATAATAGTTCTTACAATTATCTGGGTACTCTGAAAAATAATAAAATTGTTTAGGTCATAAATAGTAAACAAAAAAAAATACTGAAAGTAAGAAAAATGTACAATACTTTGTATCGAATCAGACTCGCGCTTGATTCAAAAAGTAGATGAAATGGATGCAAGAATATAATTTTATCACAATATGTTGGTTATTGAACTTGCAAGAATGAAATACAAAATAAAAAAGTGATTTTGATGAAGCACAAAACTTGTTAAAATATCATGATGACTTACTTAAACCAAAACAAGACTCTTGTTTGGGGACGTTGCCATTATCAGCTGAAGCTTTAATTTCTTCAAAAGCAGAGACTACCTCTCTGAAAAAGTAGAAATTATTTATTGTATTTATAAAACTGCAATATCATAAAATATATTAAATAGGTTTTATTTTGTAAGAGCTGTTCAAGTTAGAACTCCACATTCAATATTATGGCAAATTGGCCTGAATATGTAGCATAATGAAACAATGCAGTCAAGAATTAACCTAAATTCTTCTCAATGCAATCATTTTCGAATGATATGCATATGAAATAATATCAAATATGAAACAATATCAAGTAGATTTCACAAACCTCAAATTCATTCCATTCAAACGTTGTAACTCCTGTGAATTGAGTTTGGGTGGATGCTTTGTGCCTTCTTCAAGACATTTAGCAGTTTTCCATATTGTTGTTAAACAATTCACAGTATGAGGACCATAATATTTCTCACAACTTTGAGGGTAGTCTAAGATGATTAAGTAAAGATTAGTCGAACATTGAAACAAATTTTTGATTCTCAAAATCTCTGTTGCAATACAAGTTTTTATGTACATTTTCTCAAAGCCACTCATGAATGCTCACCCAAAGATAGATAGATAACTGATAGAATATACACTGACAAGCTAAGAACCTTGCATGGATTTGGTAATACAGTTATGTTTGACAAAAAATAAATAAAGAGTTCGTGCAATTAATAAAAATGCGGTTCGATATACAAACCTAATCCAAAACAGAAATTCTGACTTGAAACATCTCCAGTGTCAGCAGACTGTTTGATTCCACTAAATTCATCTGTAACTTGTCTGAAATGAAACAACTCGTTTTGTAAAGTGTTTTTATTGTTGAATAAATAAAATAAAATGTTAAAATATACCTTATATTGATTGTGTTGAGTCTATTTAGATCACTTGTGCTCAGTTTTTCAGGGTATTTCGTTCCTTCAGACAGACATTGAACTGATTTCCAAATTGTCACCAAGCAAGAAACAGGATGAGGACCAAAATACTTATCGCAATTATTTGGATAAGTAAGCCCAAAGCAAAACTGTTGGTCATTTACATTTCCATTGTCTGCTGATGCCTTCAAATCCTCAAATTTCTTTTTAACAGATCTATTACAGAACATGTTAAGGCAATATTATAGTTCGATTTCAATATGATTATATGAAGATAAGTATAATATACCATAATAAAAAAACATACATAAGTAAATCTGAGGGCTGTAAAATGCATTATCTCAAGCCAGTCCTTCATAGGTGATTGAAAAAAATTATAGAAGACATATTAAATCCTCATTTAATGATCTATGATCTAAAAAATCTCCTGTAATAATTTGTTAGTTGGTTTGCAACATGTCTCTTTACTGAAGTAAAAATATATCCACAGGAAGTTCTCTTTGAGCCATGGGTAAAAGTCACTAGTGTCCTCAGCTGTATGCATTATATTACTTATAGTTTTGTGCAACATCTCATACCTCAAATCCATCCCATTGAATTGTTGCAATTCCTGCGGAGTGATTTTTGTTGGATATTTTGTTCCATCTTCAAGACATTTTGCAGACTTCCATATTGTTGTCAGGCATTCCACGGGATGAGGGCCATAATACTTCACACAATGGTTTGGATATTCTAGTATATGTAATTAAGGATATATGAGTAAGCGATAAGAAATGCGAACTTTAAACATAGTTGAAACATCCTCCAATGAATAACAAATTTTACCTAGAATAAATAAATGAAGCAGACAGGCAAAAAAGAAAATACATAATACCATGCATAAACATGCAAATTTATCCAATGCATGGAAAATGCAAAAGCTTTACAGCTGATAAAAAATAACAAAAAGACATTGTTGACAAACTGCTGAGTGTCCGGCAAATGTTCAAAGATCAAGTGCTAAGTCAAGTTGATCAACTGTACTCTCGAATCACTTGTCAAGACACTAATGCTTCATGGCAAGGTACATTTCATTATGACACCAAATTAAAGTGAACTCAAATTCCAAGCATGAACTTATAACTGTTTAGTAATAAACCAAAATTATTTTGGAAACTAAACTAGGAATTAATAATCAAGGATATCAGGACTAAAAATAATATTTTTAATAATATTTTTAAAATACTAAAAATAATATTTTCAATAATATTTTAAAATATGAAACCTAATTTATTGTCCGATTCTCTTTTTTCGTTATTATGGGCAAAGTGGCAAATAGCATTGCGTATTCAACCAATGTTGGAAGACACCCAAAAAATTTTTGACTATCACTGAAACATTGTGTCAAAGGTCAAATTGAAGTTGACTATAAATAAATTTTATTTAACAGAAACACCAAAATTACTTTGGCGTCTCAGGTTAGGTCTCTGTAGTAGTTTGTGCAAAAAAATATCTATGAACTCCAGTCAACATTTGGAAACATGCATATATAATATTTAAATATAGTAAACAGATTATACATACAAGGTGTGGTGTGCACCAAAGCATGGGAATAATATGAAAATACAACAATCGCTTAGCTTTGTCTTTGGTGACTAAAAAATTTTAAGTCATCATTATTAAATCCCTTGAAAAACATGCATAAAGCAGCAAAAGAAAAAATAATAATAACAATAAAAACAATATATCAAATGAATAACAACTCATTCAAAAAGAATTGGAATTTGATAAAAAGAAAAAAAATATCAGAATAAATCATTTCTGAAAATAGATTTAAAAATAAACCAAAGGATTAACAATGAGCAATTAAATCAGAGGCAAATATAAAGAAAGATTCAAATAAAAAACGTTCAAATGAAAAAAAAAATGAAAATTTTGGCTCCTAACATATCATCACCAGCACTTCCACTAATTCATAAAATAAGAATATATGAATTGTTATATTACAAACCTAATCCAAAACAGAAATTCTGATTAGATGCATCCCCAGAATCAGCGGAATTCTTGATCCCACTAAATTCATCAGTAACTTGTCTAAAAGAAAAATTTATTGTGTGACTCTCTTGCAAAAAAATTAATCTCCAAAATCACACAAAAAATATACCTAATAGTCATTGAGTCAAGGCGGCTTTTCTCAGCTGATCCAAGTTTTTCAGGATATTTGGTTCCTTCATGAAGACATTGCACGGATATCCAGATTGTCACCAAACATGTCACTGGATGAGGTCCAAAGTACTTATTGCAATTGGTTGGATAGGTAAGACCAAAACAAAAAGTCTGACTGTCTTTATTTCCACTGTCTGATGATGCTTTCAAATCATTAAATTCTTTTATTATAGCCCTGTACAAGTAAATCGTATATTCAAAAATATCACACCATGACTTGCAAACAATAAAATCCATCGAAAATTTTATTATGAACAAAATTTTAAAAGAGAATGAAGAAATTCCTCTTTTTTATAAGCAAGACAGATATCTACGTAATGAATAAATATATGTAAATTAAATAAAAACAACTTTTCCCTCACCGAATATCCATATCATCAAGTCGTTGCTTCTCAGCACTTGATAGTTTTTCAGGATACTTCGTTCCCTCCGCAAGACACTGGGCTGATATCCACATTGTATTCAAGCATTCCATTGAATGAGGGCCGTAATACTTGCTACAGTGTGTTGGATACTCTGCGTATATGACACAATTGGAAATAATTTAAGATAAAATATTAAAAAGCAGGTTTTGTTTCAAAAAGATAAATTGTTACCAGTGCCAAAACAATATTTCTGATGTGCTTTATCATTGCTATCTGCTTTTTGTTTGATGTTTTGAAATTCAGCGATAACTTCCCTGCAAGCAAAATAAGGTTTAAAGACTAAAACAGAATAACACCAAACATTTAACTTAAGCTATATTCTGTTATCTATTTCTTTAATAAATTGACTATTTCATTTTCTTAAAAGAACAAATACTGTTGTCATTTTAAATTTTTTATGCCCAGTATTACATTTTCAACTTTAATATATCCTACATTGTTGTATAGCTGTTTTTATATTTATTTATGCCCTGTAGGTTTAAGTTTTTAAGTTTAAGTTCTTATTCATGTAATACAAATATGGAGTTACGGTATGTAATAAGTGGTTTCATTATCAAATTTCATGACATATTACAAAAAAAAACTGTATAATAAATGAATTATACAGGTACCTTAAGTTTATGTTGCTGATTCTATTTAGCTCAGCAGCCGGCAATACAGGTGGATACTTCGTTCCCTCTTTTAAACATTCTGCAGATGACCAAATTGTTTTGAGGCAATCTTTAGAATGAGGTCCATAATACTTGGTACAATGTAAAGGATATTCTGAATATAATAATATATATTGCAATCAAAAATCTTCGAAATTTCAGGACATGAATTATACTATATGAACGAGTATACTATTGGAGCTGGAGTCTAGAGTTGAAGCCATAACCAGTTTTAATTTATCTGCAACTGCAGTTGTAAATTCAGACTTCTAGAAATGGGAGTGAAAGTTAAAAGTTGACCAAAACTTTTAACACTATGTGTACAAAAATGCTATTCCTTCGTAACACAGAATTGGGAGCTGGAATCAAAATTCTTTAACCTGGAGGTAATATGAAGTCACATTATCTGTGAAAAATGGTCTTTTGCGAAAAGTCTTTTGACATTATTGGTTTGTAGTATAACTGAGGTGTCTTGTTTCTCCTGGGATGAACACGAAATCTTATTCCATGAAGCCATGAATATTCAGATTCTTTTCATTTTATATCAGTTATTCCATTTTGTGAGTGAAATGAAAGTGTTTTTGTGTAAAAACATTTTTAATAGGATTATTATCACACATGTAGCTGCTACACAGTAATATCATACTTAACAACAAAGTGAAACAAATAGCATGAAAATATTTGATTATTTCATTCATAAGTCAAAGGAGCAAAGACTAAATAGAGAATATACCGATTCCATAACAATTTTTCTGTGCCGTGATATCACCGCTATCTGCTGCATCTGCTATCCCTTTCGTTTGTTCAATGAGTTTGCTGGAAAAAATATGTATCAGGTTCATAAAAAGCTTAATTATTTGCAACCATTCAAACTCAAATAAAATTAACATGCGAATTATTTTATGATATCTTGAAAAAGTCAAAAACAAAATTAGCAATAAATCAACATCAACATCAAAGTATGCCTTATTTAGACAAGATTTCCTTTCATCACAACTTCATAACTCTCAATTCATTGAATACTTACTTCAATCCCAAGCCTGTTAATCCAGCAATGTCTGACTGGGAACGTTTACTAGGATGATTTGTTCCCTCTGGCAAACATTTCACTAATTTCCAAATAGTATCCAAGCATTCCGCAGTGTATGGACCATAATATTCATTACAGTTTGCAGGATATTCTGTTTTACAAATAATTTGAACCGGTGTTAAAAGGCAGTTTGCTTTTACATATATAAATTGAAGTTTATTATAACATATTATCAAGTTCTGTATTGATGTTAATATGATTAATGACTAAATTATCGAAGTAATATCCGAGCAATTCATCTTATAATTAGTAAACAATCTCAAGCTCAAGCATCATGACCTTTCCTTGAGTGGCGCTTTGAAACTAACTACCTTGGCATCACCAATTAGTGGCCTCAGTTTGGACCTCCCCGCCCACCTACTTTTCTTTGCTGCAATAAATTTGGTAGAATATTTCATTCGAAAATATTTCAGATTTTGTAGAAGTGGGGGTTACCTACAGTCTCGTTTGGCAACAGGTGGATGTGAAAAAAAATATTCTTTTTGGTTCAATATAATATTTCACATATTCATGCAATTGTCATAGCATTTGAAACTCACTTTTGCCAAAGCAGAACAATTGGTTGGTGCCATCACCAGAATCAGCTGAATCTTTCATTCCCTGAAACCGGGATGTAACTTCCCTGTAATTAAATTAAAAACTTATAAAAATATATATATTAAAAATATTAGTAACAATTTGACAATTGGACGATTTGTCTCAACATGTTGTACTTATCAATTTTATTAAAAACTTGGCTGCACTGAATTGAAAAGATAATATCAATATCCTCCGAAATATGCCACAACCAATAATTTTATCATGAATTTATGGATTTACGTATTTATCCCAGGAGAGTCGATAACATGGCTTAGCATATTCCTCTAGCTTAGTGCAATGCGCCAAACCATAAATTCGATAAGGATACCAGTTTAAAAGTATCTAAACAAATGAGGCCATGCTTGACAAAGACAACCACTCCTGGTATCCTCAAAAACTTCTAAAATAAAACAGGAAGTAAACCTAATATTCTTTTTATTCAGATCATTCAGTTCAGTAGATGACAATTTTTGTGGATATTTCTGGCCTTCTGGTAGACATTGAACAGTCTTCCAAATAGTTTCCAAACAAGGGATAGAGTGAGGTCCAAAATATTTAGAACAGCCAGTTGGATATTCTGGAATAAAATAAATAAGAAATTTCAGATATATAAGTCAAGTTTCACAGTATAGAACAGGGGTGGCCAAATCTCGAGTAGTCGATCGCGCTTAATGTTATGGAAATTTAATAACATAACCCACAAAATCGCTCCGAACTAGCTTAATGCAGCGCCTGTTGTTTGTTTTAAACCAGGACGAATACAGTAGGTCTACTGTACGTGCGCAAAATACGATTGCACATATGTACAGTATTTGTTTTTTGCTGTTTAGATAATATGAATACTTGGCAAGGTTTTCTGAGAAATATTCAACACTTACAACTAAAAATTAGGCAGACCTTGGATGTAGTTCTGAATTATGTGATTCGAATCATTCTCAAAATTTATTCCGGAATCAATAAATAATCAAATTGAATAAAACATAAAAAATGCAAATTTTTGTGGCGATTTTATTAAAATTGCGTCCACATAGCCGAGCTTATTGACAGATGTGTCTTTTTTTTGTATGCATGTGTGTGGTTCTTTGCAAACTCTGTACTCATTTATTTTGTGTATAACTTCATTATGAATCAGTCGATCGCGAGCTGTTTTGAAGATTTCAGTCGATCACAGTCGAAAGCAGGTTGGCCACCCATGGTATAGAACAGGGATGGCAAACCTTTTTCAACGAATGGGTCAAAAATTATATTTTCATCGCGGAACAAAAGAGAGTGGGTCACAGATATTTAATCAATTTAGTATCTGAAAGACACTTCTGTAACAAATCTTATAACCTTCTGTTGGTGTAGTTTTGGGCTTTACTTTTACATCACTTCTATCGGGGACTTTTTATGGCACTCGATTTTATGACATTAGAGTACAAAAACATGCATATGAATTACCAAAAACGTTTAGGATGCGGTAAAGTATTTTACAGTTCCAAAGAGTTTGGGGGGAATTCCACTGTGATAGTGTTATATTTTTCGATCAGATTTCAACCACATTTTAAGGCATTTTTACTCTGCCCCATTTTTATTTTAGATTTCTAGGTTTTTGTTTCAAGTCTGAAAGATTTTGTTTTGTCAACGACATTGTAGGCAAGAAACTAATAAAATGCAAAGTAGCATCTAGTTCTCGTATAACCCCAGTCTGTGGATGCACTTCTGAAAGAGACGAGACGTTGCGAGAAATGAACTGATCAATTGCATTGTTATGTCATAAATGATGTCAGAGCAAATAGTTGAATAACGGTACACAGCGGTGCAGTCGTGCGTCCAAGATTAGAAGTTTTGAAAATTACCCTAACGGCCCAGAAATTAACAATTTGAATATGAGCAATCGGAGCCCTGACTGCCCAACTGATGGTACATTATATTAGTTTAGTTATTGTTAGATTAATTTAAGGCCGGTTTTATCAATTTTTATCACTGATATGTGAGCATTTTTTTATTTTATTCGTCTTGGAGGGTCATGAATAAAACGCGGTTAGTCACTTTGTGACCCGCGGGTCAGTGGTTCGCCATCCCTGGTATAGAAAATACATCATACCCATTCCAAAGCATGAATTTTGATCAGCCTTGTTGCCATTGTCTGCCGAATCTTTGACTGTTTGAAATTCTCTTTCCAATTCCCTGAGAAACAAGGTAATAAAAACACTGTAAAAATTGAATACTGACATTATCTTCCAATAAGTATAAAGGTCACCATAACTCGTATTCTATGAAAAAAGAATAAAAATCACTAGGAAATATAATAAAATTGGATTAATTAACATAACAGCCAAAGAACTTATGGTCAACAGTTTAAAATAATTACACCCTACAAACAGCATATAATCATGACATAAATTTGTTATGCTGTAGCTGATATTAATGAAAAACAAACATATACCTATAATTAGCATACCTCAATGTTAAAGAATTAAGTCGATTCTTCTCAGCAGGGGAAAGCTTGTCCGGATGTTTAGAACCTTTTTCCAAGCAACCAACTTTTGTCCAAATAGTTTTAAGACAATTAACTGAATGTGGACCCGAGTATTTTGTGCAATGTTGTGGATATACTGAAACAAAATAGAAATTAATTTAAAAATCACCTGATCAAGTATCGATTTTTGTTATCTGAGGTTATATGCGAAAATGTAGTCATAATTAACTACACAATAGAGCTAGTCAGAATTATATTACCAATGCCATGACATTTCTCTTGTGCACTACTATCGCCTTGATCTGCCGCCAATGCAATATTATTGAATTGATTCTGGAGCACGCTGACAAAGATATAAGAAAAAATTGATCACACATCTAACAATCTATCAGCTACCCGCAAGACTACAGCAACCCCAAAATTACCTTATCCCTTTTCCATTGAATGCACTAAGTTGTGCTTGTGATAATTTCGGTGGATATTCAGTTCCCTCGGGCAAGCATTTGACTATTTTCCATATTGACTTCAAGCACTCAGCAGAATACGGACCATAATATTTATTGCATGAACTTGGATAAACTGCGAAATTTCAAGCATTCCTATTAATACTTAAAAAAAAATCAAAAATTTACAAAATAAAAATGTGAAAAGTCATACCTATGCCGAAACAGTATTGTTGACTTTGAGTATTTCCTGAGTCTGCAGATTCTTTTGTGGATTTAAACTTTGCTTGGATCTCACTGTCAAATAATATTTAACTGATGAAGACATTGCTATATTTTGAGAACTGATTCCTGAGTCTATCAGACTATATCAGAATGATGAATTTATTATTTGAAAATTATACAATGGCAGCAGAGGAGTTTCATAGCAGGAGGTCAAAGGGGCAGCCCTCCCGGGAAGCATGTTATACGGGTGTGTTTTATGTTTGGTTTGATGATGTAAATATTAATACAACATTTTACTCTTACTTGACCTTCAGTTTATTTATTCTAATGTACAACAAGATCTATAATTTTTTCTATCTCCCAAACTATTTTTGAGGTTAGGTATAAGGGACATCATCCTCAGAAATACCCACCGGGCAGCAGAAAAGTTTGACATGCCCCTGACTGGATGTGCTAATCTCAGTTGAATTGTGTCCACCAATGTGTATGTACATCTATTTTTTTCACAGATTACTACAGATATGGATAGTGAATAAAAGCATATAAAAGTCATTTCATTTGACTATTTGCACCTAATAGTCGAAGTCCTCAGTTGTTCCAATTCTGATCCAGAAAGTTTACTTGGAAATTTACTACCAGCTGGAAGACATTGCGCTGAAATCCACATAGTTTCCAAACACTGTGTTGAGTGAGGGCCATTATATTTAGCACAATTGGATGGATATTCTAAAAAAAACATGTTATCTTGTTGTAAGCCATAAGAATTCCTACGAAATCAGTATATACCAAAAATATTTTTGCAAGTTTTTTCATTCCAATTGTAAAACTTTTATTTTGGTATTGTTGTGAATATCTGGTCTTGCTAATAAAATACATAAAACAATGAATATAAGGAAAAATGATGTCAGACACCATTATAAAGTAATATTACCCAATCCAAAACAAAATAACTGATGCTGCTTATTATTGTTGTCAGCCTGGTGTTTGTAGTTTTGATATCTGTCAGCAACTTCCCTGAACAATCAATGTTCACCAAATTATAAAAAATCATATAATACTGAATAAAAGAATTATCAGATATTGGATACAAACCGTATATTCAAGTTTTTCACTTCATTTAATTCCTGTGCACTCACAGAAAGAGGATATTTAGTCCCTTGTTTTGAACACCCCGCAGATGCCCAGATGGTTTTGAGACAATGTGTAGAATGTGGTCCGTAATAGTTAGCACATCCTTCAGGAAATGCTGCAAAACATTTGTACTTGAAAATTGACTGTCTCCATTCATGTGAACCCAAATGTCCAGTCAACAAAAAACATATTATCAACAGGGACAATATTTAAAGTATATTACCTGATCCAAAGCATTTTTTCTGAGCTGTAGCATCACCATTACTAGCAGATGTAGATAATGACTCAAACTCAGATAAGATTGACCTGAAAGATTTGCAACTCAATATCATATATTACGCCTGACAAGTGAGAGGCACACAAATTTCAAATTACCAATAGCAAAGAATAGACACAGTGATGTACTATTATCAAATTAAAAAGTAAGATATCATTCAATAAACGGGATAAATTATTCAAACTAAAAATGTCACTGAAATACCTTAGATCCCGGTTTTTGAGGGAGTTAAAATCATGTGGCGATAATTTAGAGGGATAACTATCTCCTTCAGAAACACATTTTTTTGATTTCCATATAGTTTCAAGACAAGATGTAGAATGTGGGCCATTGTAGGTGGCACATCCACTGGGGAAAACTGGAATGTAATATGTAATAGTAACTAAGTACTTAAAAATTATAAAACACACACATATGATGATGAACAAGTAAACAAACAACCACCAAAAAGTGATGTTCTTTTAATGAGATTATTTATACATGAAAATATTCTCACCCAGGCCATAACATTCTGATTGAGATTGAACATTACCATTCACAGCATTGGTTTGAATGTCTTTGAATTGATCCAACATTTTCCTTAGTGGAACAAATGCCAGAATGTATTAAAATAAACAAAGAACATTGAGATAGCAATAAAATCGCATCAATAAATGAGTTTACATATTTGCTTTTGAAAAATTCAACAATACTTGTTACTTTACATTACCATGCCCGGATGAATTTGATACTGCACATTGACATTGTGTTTATAGTTTTGCAAAATTCGCCTCTGATGTTAAACTTTTTTTTTTCAAGACTTAATGAAAAAATAATATAAAAGAAAAAAAGATTGTTCACTAGTTATAAACACGATCAGCAAATGACTTTGCAGAATTCTTCCAAAAATGATTCAAAATATTTTCAAGCTAGTCACACATGATTGCAATTACCAGTCTAAACAAACCTCAATGGTATATTTGAAAGAGTAGATTGTTGTTGTGAGTTCAGTTTACTTGGCAACTCATGTCCCTGTTTGATACACCCACTTTTTATCCATATGACATCCATGCATTCAGCACTGTGGCCTTTCTTTGGATCACTACAAACATCAGGAACCACTGAAATGTACGTGAGAAGTTGGTAAATTTAACTGCAATAATCTAATTGATTTATAGCATTATTTACAATTCTGAGGATTTCCCAAGCACTTGCAACATTAAAAATATCAGTCAGTCCTGAAAATTTAAATACAATTTCAGCAATATTTAAAAAAAAATAGATACATACCAATACCATAACAGTCTAACTGGCTCTGTTCTTCACCATTACGTGCTCTCTCATGAGAAGGTTTAAATGCTCTCAATAATTCTCTGAAAAAAAAATACCATTAAAGTCGGTGACAGTTCAATTACTCCTTATTCAAAAATTCATGTTCACCTAGTTGTCATTATAGCATATGAAGTCATCAGATTTTGTGATGCCTCACTTGGCGACAAATTCCCCTCGACCAAGCAACCACTTATTGTCCAGATACTAATCAAACATTCCACAGAATGCCCTGATTCAGTGTCTGTGCACGGTTCTGGAAGAACTGAGAGTAGCAAAAATGCAAGATGATCAAATATTTCAGGTAAATAAAGTAAAATGTCTTTCACAATTGATTCACTGTACAGCAATTTGTCGGCATCATGTAACCAAAAAACAAACAGACACTACTTTCATTTAATTAAAGATACAAAAATCTCGTAATTCAAGTTCAACAACAACAGTATGTTGTCACTATCTATTTTAATTACCGTACATCTATGATTAAACATATTGCATCTATTTACATATTTCAGCACTTGATTTGGGTGAAACTCTCTGTGATCAAATAATATATTTTCTCCCTAAAGCCTAGTTTCTCTGTTTTCTGTTTATTAACCTCTTTCATAAAAATATTGTAAAATGAGAGGAGAAAATCACAAAAACATGACTTTGATGCAACATACAGAGACAGTTCGGTGGAGAAGGGTTCCAAGTGCCTATAGCAGTTGTTCCTTCACATGTGATGGTGTCTGATATTCCAGTCAATGTAGATGTTGCGTATAAACAACTAAATGTACATTTAGAATTCCAATGATGATAATCTGTACAGGTCATTACAGTATCTTCTTCAAATAATTTGAGATTTACTATCTCGCATTCAATAACTGGAAATAAATATAGTGATGTGATAGATGTACGTCTCCATGTTCAAACATGTGCTAACGCAGCATTTTAATAATATTTTATTACAATATTATCATGCCCTAACAGGCAATCTATAGAATATTTTTATAACTATTACAAAGTTTACTAACAATATTATATTCTTAGCAGCTATCCGGAAATCTTCAAAAAAAAAATGTATATATATACTCAATTTTCTGAATCCCTGTCTAACGATAAAAAGAAAATTTATTTTTGAAATTCGGCTATTCAAAATGGAGTGTCCAAAAATTAATGATACTTCTATAAATCACTAGTACCCCATACAGCCGGTTAAAAAAAACAATCATTTAAGCTTGAAGCTTGCTCAATTATGAACTTATGAGGTCTCAGTTCATTTTTAATTTTGCTAAAACCACTTTGTTTTTACTGATAAAGACACTACTTTGTATTTTATCAGGGTGACCCCTTCAACAAATAGTGGTGGGACTCCTTACATGCTAGTGTGATAGATATTACAAAGGGATTATTATGTCAAATGGTGTCACTAAAAAATTTTCTGTTATGATGAGAGAGCTAAATGTATTGATAATATCATATACAAATCACTCACGTTTGCACATAGGAATAACAGAATCCCAAGTACCAATTCTATCATCATCCGGGTCAACGCACGATATTGTGTTTTGGCCATTAGAATCTAAGTAAAGTCCGGGATCACAAGTCAAAGTGCATGAAGATCCGAGATAATTGGAATTTGTGCAGCTGGCTTGTAGTGCAGATATATCATCAAGTTTCGGACACTCAACAGCTTTAATTAAAAAACAATTCATATGAACTGGTGCGATTAGAAATCAATGTAATAAACATCATTGAGTTATACAGCATATTGGAAAATTAAATATTAAATATGTTTATAGTCAGACAAGAAATTGAAATATCCACTCTGTACACAAGTACAAGATTGGCTAAAGATTTTAAATCCAAATTATAAGACTCCAAACAACTAAATACTTCTGTTTAAAGAAAGTTAAATTGTCCTTTGCTTTTGGTAAGTTTGGCTTCCTAGTCTAAATTTCACCTGATATACCGCAGCGACAATAATACCAAGTCAAACAAATATCAGTATACAAATATACATCATGATTATTGATTGTATTATAATTACAAAGAAAAATTTCCCTGTTCCATGACATTTAGGTTGGATGCAAAAATTGAAGCAAACCTTGACAACCAGGAAAGGATCCTGGAGACCAATCCCCAACTCCATCATTATTATGATCCAGACATGTTACCTCATCGATGTCTGCATTCAATAAACCGGTTTTACACGTAAAAAAACATCGTGAATTATAATAAACTGAGTTTGAACAGAATATCTCAACATCAGGATTATCTACCGTGATTTGTTCACAAAAAATATCTGTAAAAAAAATCGATCAATATTAAATATTTATTTCAATTAAAATTTGAATTTTTATGAAAAATGTTGCTTAGTATCACATATTCAAGTAGTAAGCTGAACAACTAGTTTAAAAGTGAGAAATGATAGTTGGCTTCAATGTCTGGCGTTCGGTTCAATACAAATAATTTTTTTTCTTACAACATTTTTATTTTAACCAATCTGTTATATAGGTGATAAGTATATCATCATATCATGGTATCACAAAATTTTAAATGCCCCCTCAACCTACTCCTGCATTCTGCCACTGGACAGGCACGTTACATATTGAAAGTGTTTACATTTAGTGTGTATACATTTACAAACAAATAGTATAGTCATAAAAAGACGCTGAAAAGTGCACAAAAAGTCACAGTTTGACATTTAAGCACTAATGCGTGTTCCTTACGGCAGGGCTACTCAACTGGCGGACCGCAGTCCGATTCCGGACCTTTTGAGTATTTGATTCGGACCGCACCTAATTCTTCATTTTGGATCATTAGCCCCACTTTACAAGTTTAATTTTAAAAAATGACTTTGTTGATATTGTTATAATGATATGGTAATCGAATATATATGAATGAACTGTAACACCATAATAAACAATCTTGATTAGCTAATAATCATTAGCCGGTCAAGGAAGTGCGCGTTTATTATTAAGGATGCTGAAATATAATTTCTGGAAACACCGGACCCAAATAATTTTGAAGTTTCGTATGCGAATCTTCAGTAAAAATAGTCGAGTTGCCCTGCCTTACAGTAGAATCATACTCATCGAACTAATTTGCTAATTTGCCCACCGAAGCACCGGCACGGCGGTGTGACGCATCGTGCTAAGCGTTAGGAATACACTCGCCACCGCATCTCTGATTACCCTTTGTGAGTTCGCAGGTTCGAATCCCATGCGGGAATGATCATGTGCGTGAGGATTACTGAACTCCTCGTCGCCGTAGGGTGATTCACGTAACTGCTGGTCGGTTACGGCTTCCTTCACCATCAAGCCCATGCTTCCGAAAAAAAATAACTGGCTAACTGATCCCATACCCGACCTGGACTGGTAACCGGACGAGAGGACGTGGTTCGCCATATGATTAGGCTATCTTATCCACTTTCCTCTCCTCCGGGATAAATATGTGAATCCTATCCTATTTAGTGCCAAAAGGTAGTATTAATCACTCTGAACAACCCATTAACTTGAGCATTGCAATAACCTGTGAACATGGTGTACTGTAATTGTGAGTTAACAGAGATAACTGCTATGTTGTCTAGACCAGTGGTCGGCAACCACCGGGCCGCGGCCCATCGCCAGTCCGCGGAAAGGTTACTACCGGTCCGCAGAGAGGTGACACAGAAACGGACAAGGCCCTAATGAAACCTCTACAATCTAACCACATACTCCACGACTAAAAAAAGCACCAAACCAGACAAACACAACGCAGTTCAGCAGCATGTCTGACTTCAGAACCAATTCACATGTCATTATGTCGCATCGACGCTGGGTCAATTGTTCTCACATCAGTCGGAATAAGACCTCCCGAACAAAATGATTCTCGCTAGGAACGTGACTATTGACTACTCCACTACTTGCTCATAGCTGACCTGTCATGACTAGTCAGTGCAAATTCTATACTTTAGAAATCAGGATAATCATAAAGTTGAAACATCGGGTAAAAAATTAGTTATGGCAAAACAAACAATAATATAATCAAATGTTCAATCAAACATCAATCAATACCCAGACTAGAGACAGAAGGTTTTCAGGCATTGTTACCTATCCCAACATCTTATTAATGTGAGGCCTGGTTTTCAATATTGATAACTACAAAAACAAAATATCCAAGTAGGCTGGATGTAAAAACACGTTACATGTGGCGGTGTCGACCATATCTCAAATATTGGAACAGTTAATGGCCAGCAAATAAATACAGATCTCGCATTAAATAGCATCACTTCCGTTTTTCAGTATATTGTCAACATAAGTTTCCTAACGCGTATAATTTATTGCATAAGCTTAGTTCGTTTGTATAAAAGGTGGTCCGCCAAAATTTTCGTCAGGCTTTACCGGTCCGTCACTTAAAAAAGGTTGCCAACCACTGGTCTAGACTGAAAAACCCAAAGGCCATATATCACTTTATCTAGTAGTGATCAAGAATTGTTATCAGTGCACGAGCCACAGTATGATTGACACTGACTTTTATATTAAAATCAGGATAAATGAAAGTACGAAGTCTAATAACAGCCGTTAGACGTCAAATACTTTATAAAATATATCAATCCAAAGATAATGATGAAGGTTGAAAATTTCATACTATCACAATATCGAGAATACTGCCAATTTGAAATATAGACGTACCGGTATTGATATCATCAATTTTACAGCACAACGTATCAGAATCAGCAAAAAGGTGATATCGGATTATTTCTAAAGTATATCACAAAAATTCATCCTGATGTGCAAGAATTTCGGTCAGAGCTTACCAACACATGGATAATATTCCACTTTTACCACGCCAGCATCAGGAGGAATGTAACTTTTCAAAAAATCAGTGATACATGTCGCTTTAATTTTGTCACCCTTGGGCACAGCATGTGTTCCAACTGGACAATGATAATGGCACACCGTTCCCACTATAGGTTTACCATCACTTCTTGGATATGTACATGATTCCATCACACCAAATTTACTTTCATCCATCATTGCAATGTAATCACAGGTCCTGTCTGGAAAATAAGAAAAAAAGAGGAATTTATGAGAGAGGATTAGTAGACCCCCTGCCGTCTTATAGAGGTTCGCATGACCAGCTCACAGCTTCAAGTTCATGCATCTGAAACAAATACCTAGCTAACTAATCCCATACTCAACATAAACTGGTAACAGGACCAGGGGCCGTAGTATAACATATAATTAAGTGTTGTCGACTTTCATCTCCCCCCTTGGGTTAAATATGAAAATCCTATCCTAAAAAAATTCAATATTTTTCGAAATTGGGAACATTTAAGTATCTGAGCATTGTTACATCGTGATAGGATTCAGGGATCACACAAAAAGAATCATTTACAAACATTAGAACTATTTTGCCAGCGCTACTCAAAACTTTCCGTACCACGGCATATATATAGTCTACGTCATATGCCACAAACATATCTATACATTATTAAAAAAAAACGTCCCAAAAAAGATTGGAGAAATTCGAGTTCAGATATTTGCAGCGTTTTTTCTCTCTCTCTTGTTACAAATGTGGGAAGGCGTGAGTGACATAGTCAATAACTCACCTAATTTAACTATACTGCATTGGAAGTTGCTGCTATCATTTATTAAAATATCAACCTATATAGCATGGCATAAATTGTGTTGAGACCAATTGACGCCATCGCACTTGGTTTCAACTTTTACCGGTGAAATGAAGGAAGGATTTGAGAGATCAACTATCAAACATGGCCAATTTTCAAATCGTGAAACCGCATTAGTTTTACTCAATAAACTGAAGAAATCCATCCACATGCTGTTTTACACCCGGTTTGGACATAAAAAAAAGTTAGATAATTTACATATCGACGGCATGCTACAATTGAATGTAAATAATACGTCATTGTCGGATATATCAAAATCAAAAATCAACACTTTTATTACAATTAGTTTTCATTCATTCTTTCACTTAGGCTCTACAACAGTGTTTCCCAACCTTTTTTGGTCGCAGGCTATTTTCTCACCAGGGAAAACCTTTGCAGACTCAACGTGGGTTAATTGTAAAACCGAACTCTATGTGAATAAGAAATAACATCGAAAACAACAGAATTTAAACACAGTCAGTTTATTATCCACATTTACAAATTTCAATGGTAACTCTAGGGAAGGTATTCATTCCATCATTGAGACATCGAGAACTGCTCGCTCTGACAAACTCTGATATTACGATATGTGATCACTGGCGACGATTCTCTGAGGAAAATTATAGGAAGGAATTTGCAGCTAAAATTTTCAAATAAATTCATTATGATTATTATCTTGCATGTCGGTTTTGATAGATCGCTTCGTAAAATTCAAAAATTAACAATATCTTTATGGCTGGCTCTATGTCTATGTTATTTTTGCCTCAAAACAAAACATCTGAAATGTTGTTACTGCGTATCTGATAGAATTCACTTAATTGTATTTCATATTCAATTTAATATATCCGCTCCGAAAATTTTGAAAGGTTATTTTTTTGTTATTTCCAAGGTGATTCGAATTTTACCAAATAGCCAACTGAAATGATCTGAAATGCTGAAACGATGATACTCACACGACATTGGTGCATAATTAATCATTTAAATTTGGAGCAATGGAGATACAAGAAAGAAATACCGTATTTCAGGCAAATAAGTCTACCTGGTAAATAAGACGAGGCCCATTTTTAAGCCTGAAAAAATGGGTTTTTTCATACAACCTGCCAAAACTGGCAGTAAAATCGCATCCAAATCTCAAATTTCCATGCAACAGCTTCTTAGCGGTCTCCGCGTTTGCGCATTCGTTGAAATAGCCCATATGACTTTTCTTGTAGCGTAATATACAACTACGGTAATTCAAACTGTCTTTCAATTTTAATCTAATTGTACTTGATGTAACATAGCAATACGCGGACATAATAATGTGAGATAAACTGCCTGATTATATTTAGTTTTGATACATAATTTTGCGCTCTGGGCAATTCTTTATCGCTGTTATAAAAATCCGTGGACATAAATATGTAAGATTATATGTTGTTTTGATTTGTATTTTTGCAAAGTAAAAACATACTGAGCTGTTGCTGCAACACTTATTCTGCTCCATCGCAATGCTCATTATTTTGAGGATATCACCATAAGAAAAAACCTTATCAAGTCAGAGTTTACCACAGAGTAGAGTTTATTTCAAAAATGAATTAAATATACTTTAAATTAAATATCATAGTTGTGGAACACAAAATGCTTTTGCGATTTGCAATGTCTAAGAATCATCTTTAATCTATCACAGGCTATCCTAAAATAAAATTTGAATGGTGTTTCTGTTTTATTTTTAGTAGTTGCCTCTTTTCAATGCCTCTTTTCAATCGAGAAAATTTGGTTCACATTTTCACTCCCTTATTTATCTTAGCATCTTGTCACACATGCTTATTTAATACCTCATATATATGTAACAAGTGCCATTGTTTGAAAACAATAAAATAATTATTGTTGTCCTCGTGTGCGGCACAAAACATATGTTGAGGAAAAGTGATTTAAGGAGAATAATTGCTGAAATAAAAGATGTTTCACAAATAAAAGATTTTCACAAATTACAATCCCACGTGTATCAGTAATAGCCGTTCACTTGTGATGCACCCCCCCCCCCAAAAAATCAGGCCAAAAATTTGGGTCTAGAAAAGCGACTAATTCGCCAGAAAATACGGTAAATAAAAAAACAAAAATACTCATTTTTAATGAAAGCGAAAAATACGTGTAAAATTGTGTCTTTGTCAGAAATCCGCAGGTGCGTTGTGCAATCCAATCATTTGATTCAGCGTTATTGACGTGCCATGTCCAAGTCACATGTTACCAGGTATCTAATAGTTTGCTAAATGAATATTTTACCCAGCCCTGCTCTGTAATTATTAATAACTCGGTTAATTATAAGTGAATAAACTTGCCTTTAATGTCTTATTTAAATACTAATGCTAATCGTTACTTGGCTGCTACTTAGTCTGGTAAAAACATCCCTCAATGAATTTTGTGAAACCAAAAAGATTAGTGATCTAAGTGAAATAACTACTACATAACTTCCTAAAACAGAATTGCTCGTTGAGGACCCATTCAGAATTTACAAATTTGGAATGTCACATGACGGTTTTGTAGACGTCACTCTATAATCACTACTGTACAAAAAGTTCAGAAAGCAACGAATGCAATCAATTCCCTATGCAATAATCTATATTGACACTTTCAGTACCCCAATTCGAAAGCATACGGTAAGTTACAAACACCAGTAAGGGTGCATCAGCGGAAAATAGGTTGAACGTATTTAGTTTATTTTGTAATATATTTTTATAGTATATGGCAATAATCGGTCGTTAAGCCTGGCAATGCACTAGTTAAACACTCTTTAGAGTCTAAACCACGATACAACCTATTTTTGTATGATGATTCCAGCTTTTTTGTTTGAATTTAAGAGCATCTAAGCCAGTGATTCTCAAACTAGGGTTTGAGAGCCGCATGCGGCTCTCAACAACCTTTCCTGCGGCTCTTGTTAATGCTTTAAAAAATAATTACTTTCAAAGAAAATTTTCCATTGAAAACTAATCATTGACTTGAAATTAAAATGCGGAAGTCTATTAGTTCGTCGAATGGATTCCCCCGTGTTCATTTGCGTAGCGTTGATTAATCTACAAGATGCAATACTGACGCAACAGTAAGCGTTTTCGCGTCCACTCGGACACTTTTCACTTGGAAAGATTTTAGAAATGGCTGTAATCATTGGCTTGCTTTAGTGGATTTTGTCGCATTTCCGAATATTATGCATAAATCAAATAACTCAATGAATATTTTAATTTCTAGAGCATTTTAATTTTGTTCCCGTAATCAAAAATAGTCCCGAAATATCTTGCGATCATCTCAATCAGCTACTGCACCTTGCATCCTCCACGATTACGACCCGCTTTGACAAACTTATTAGAAATCAAAGCCAAATTGAATAGCTGTTAGTCGAATCGAATAATTTAAATATATTTAACGAATATTCGGATAATGAATATTTTTTATACATACCAGGGATCCAGAACGTCGGAGGTCGATACTTCATTTGGAAATTAATAGAAACATTGAATAGTCGGCAATAAAGCGTTTTTTACTGGTTAATAGTTAATTTCATCATAATCTCTGATTGCCTTTGTCACCGCGATCGTTTCGGCGGCGATATTCCAAAGTTGGTGTTCTATATTCCCGTCCTTTCTCTTTTTTTTGCAAGAATAAGGGGTCGCCGGATATCGAAGTTACATATTTCTAGTATACCCTTGCGCTCACATCAGCAACAGCTGTTGAATACATTAAGGGCTGATTTCAAAACCTAATTAATTTTATTCTGAGTTTTATCCTCTGCCTTGGCTTTGATCTTCCTCGTCACCGATTGTTTACGGAATTTGCAAATTCAGCACTTCACTTAATGATTTTGATTATTTCATGCCTTAATAAGGCTTAATTATTACTGCCCATATGCTTCAAAATTCAATAATTGTAATCATTTCGAAGATAATAGATGCAACAATTCGTGAACGAGTTAGTGTGCATTGTTACAACGAAATTATCGATTGAATTTACGTTCTACTCTTTGCTCAACGGTCATGTATGGTCAGGTAAAATGTTTACATATTCGAAACATTACTTGGCCAGGGATGGAAGGGATCACTGAAGAGGTAATACAAAGTGCTTTAAATAAAGTAGGCTATGACATTTCTTATCTGGTTACAACTTAATGAGTGTTTTTCATACAAGTAACTCATACCAGCTTTTGGAAAAACTTTTGGTCATTTTTAAATCTATGCTATTTATATAACTAGAGTTTTCTAACGCCGAAAAGTCATTTTAACATTTCATTGTGATCAACTTTATGTTCGGTGATGCAAGAAATGGCTAATGACATGTCACCAAGCATGCGGAGTTTAAAATCTGAGAAAATTATTTTAAATACTTAATCTAGTTTGACGTTTCTACATTTACGGAACGGTCGCCGGTCGGTACATTTTTTGATAATATGGAATTGAAACGATACGTTAGGATCAAATATAAGCATATAACCACACAACGCAATGACGACTTTTCAAATTTGTCGTTTTTTTTTCTGATAGCGGGCGCCGTTGGGAAATCTTGCACAATTCACGATTGAGTTGGAGACGCGCGAGTTCGGTGTCCAAGCAGAGCGGCGCAGGCCACGTGGTACCTGATATACGAATAGTAAAATGCAATTCGAATATTTTATTATTCGAATATTTTGTCCAGCCCTAGTTGTTACGTTTGTCGTGTTGTTAAGATGATTTGGTATTTTGAATTCGCTCTTAATGATTGTTGCTATTTTACCTTGCGTTGTTTGTGTGCGGCTCTTCATAACTTTGACGTTTGAAATGCGGCTCTGAGACTGAAAAAGTTTGAGAACCACTGATCTAAACCATATGAAATTTGGCGAAATATGAAGTTCGGTTATACTTCTCAGTTCCACCAAATAATATTGCCAAAAACAATATTATTCAACTGCTGAGTGAGTTTTTATTAGTTAATCCACTTACGCTTGATGTATCTATGTGACCGAAAAGCAACGTCATTTTTAGGTTCCCCCTCACCCCATTTCCTATCAAAAAAATAAATATGAGAGAAGGTCTCTTGTTTTCATCATGGTACAGATCGGTATAAATTAAAAAACTGACCACGGCACGGAAAGTGTTAACAAATATGAAATTTTAGAACAAGTGATTTTTTATTAATGCTCAGAAACATAATGAACCCAACAAAATACTAAACGACTGCTACTGATTTGTGTTAAAGTATTTGGGTAATAGTTAAAAATGTCATACATACCATTGCAATTTGGCATCATTGAATGCTTGAATCCTTCACCTTTCCAATATCCGTTTAATCCATATTCATCCATAGCACCCCCATGTGGTTCACAAAATATTAATCTTGGACCAAAAACATATCGATCCTCAGTGCAAATCAGTTGACAAGCATTTTCATTATCAGCCAGGCAATAAAATGATTCTTCTTCGCGATTCAGTGGATCATAGAGTGGAGCACAATCAAGAGTTTTTCCTTAATTAAAATAGGACATTTTACTTTAGTTAGAAGTTTCTAAATATCAGTATTGCAAAACTTAAAGCGACAAATAAACGTACAAATACCTGTCACACAGCCTCAACGCAATATCATAAAACTAAAAAACACCATCACATATAAAAAAAAATAATTTATACATGTCTATTTTTCTTGTGTGAATACATCCAATGAAAGACAATTATAATTTTCCAAAAGGCCGCAATGGTATCAGAGAACAATAAGTTAATAGATTTATTTTCAAGATCTGTTTGATCTGTTTCATTTCAATAAACTATAAAAAGATGCGCAACAGCATGTGTAATACATGGTTTTCAAACCATGCCAACCCCACACTTTGGTAGATAGCCGTAAATTCTAAGTAACCTCCCCTAATTATAATTACATGTGTTTACATGCTCACAAAAAAAGTCTCAACTTAGTAAGGGTATTCAATCGATTCAAAGTTGAAAGTAATGGTAAAATTTACAAATCTTTTTCATCACTCCCGCTGTCAAAAGATGCACATTGTTTAATAATATTGTTATTGTCGACAGTTGTGGAGAGATTGAATGAGGCAAACAAAATGCATTTCATTACAACAATTTACTGATATTGCTGAACGAATTACAAATATTATGAATAGGTCATGCAAAATGTATTTAATAAATAGAACATGTTTTATGAATAAAGCAACTATCGCTTGTCGCTTTAAGATTTAACTGATAATCACACCCACACCCAACTGCAATAGCCAGATACCTTAGTTCGGTAACTAAACTGTCATGGCTGTATGCATGTATCTGTATGTATGCAGTATAAATTTTTAAACAAAGTGTGAATATGAATTTAATGAAAATCATAAGTTAAGGTGACTATGTATTTTACTACATTATCTTTGATTACTGCATATTTGCAGATTGCAATGACAATATTGTACAAGCAATGACATCAAAATCATCACTCAATTCCAGTAAAAAAGATGTATTTCGCCCAGTCGTAATTTATAGCTCAAAGCATAATGTGATATTATACATCATGCTGTATTTTGATTTTTTCACCAAATGAAACCAATACTGCTATGTTTTATTGTGTTGCGATCTTAACAAAAAATGCCATGAAATATTAACCCTAATTAATGAAATTTTTGAGTAAATAAAGGACCCTTGATTGTGTCTAGCAGTATAGCTATGCTGTACTAATAACTTTTCATTTGCTCAATCCTGATTATACCAAGGAAATGACATGAATTTTTAGCTCATCAAGTCAAAAATAAATGTAAAGAGTATAACTCCAAAGTAAACAATCTATCTGGCACTACTAATTATGTCTAAGAGAATGACATTCAGATTTTCAATTGTATCCATATACTTACTGACACAAGTTGGTGCATCAGGCCACCATTCAGAATCTAAAGTATATTGATAATGCTTATTCAAACACAACAGCGGTTTTCTGTGAGTAACATTGTAATTCTGATCACACAACACTGTGCATGAAGTGTTGAATTTATAAATTCCATTGTATTCGTCAACTTCTTTGTCACATTCTAGGATTTGTGAACGAGGCATAAGACGAGGTGAAGATGTACAATCATTAGCTGTAAAACAAGCATAAAGAATTTTATAAACTTATCAAATTAAAAGTGGGTTGGAGACATTTGTAAAAAAACATTTAACTCACGTTTACATTGTTGAACCCATGCTTTCCAATATCCTACATTAGGGATCTGTTTCCGAGTTGGATTTTCATGCTTAGTGCATACAATAGTATTGATACCTGCGGTAGTTGAACATGGATAATTGCAAATAGTGTGTAGAAAATATCCTAATTCTTCATCTTTAGGAGGGTCACATTTCGAAGGCATACGAATTCCGTACAGATATGGAGTGCTTTTACAGGTTACAACTGAAAAATAAATTAGATTTAAATAATAATAAGAATAAACCATAGATAACTTGATCTTTCATTAGCATTCCATATCACAAGTAAAGCAAATATTCACTAATAGAATAAATTATAGTTACTGGTATATAACATTTTTAACGAATATAGCTTATTTTAAAATAGGACAGAAAAATTTTATATTAATATTTCTATATATCTACTTAATCTATGAAAACTATATATATAAAAGCTTGTCCCGAGTAAGAAAGATGAACGAAGCTGGGGGATCGAAGCCTAGAGCCATAGAGCTGTGTTTTGTTAGATCTGGCCCAGAGCTAGAGGCAAGTTAAGCATATTAAATATAACTGGGGCCAAGCTACCAGAAATTTTAATGGCACGAGTTCCTAATCATCTAATTATTTATTCACATTTATAATTTTCTAATACTTACATTTCAAACATTAATTGAAACGTTGAAGTTAAATTTCAATATTAAACAAACATATCAAATATCCCAGACTAAACAGTCTCAATCAATCGCTTTCCTATTTCTGGTTAGTATGATAAAAGCAAGATTTTTGTAAGGCTTACATCCCTACACTAACATAAATGGTGGATTGGTGGCATTTTTAGATTTTGTCCACCTTATTGACAGTTTTCAAAGCCTTGTATTATGTAGCTGATCCACATTTATCACTTACTACCTGGAAGCTGATGTTGAAATACTACTTGCCTAAAAGCCTTGATGCAATCTCTTCACCATTCAGAATGAGAAAGAATTTTTCATAATTTTCCTGGGTGAGGTGAGGTTAATCAATAAGATATACAATTTATCAGTATACCACAATCTCTCGCCTGGTTACAGATCCAGGCCAGGTAGGAGAATGACTATGAGAAGAACTAACCAGTTATTAGTCCAGTGGAGACTACACAATCCTTTAGCTAGCATCTATACTTCATTAAAAGCAGACAACCCACACAAAGTAATTACCAATATAATTTAAAGTATGTCCCGATAGCATAAGCAAGGTTAATTATGTGTTCCTTTGAACAGAAATTGACTGAATTAATAGTTCAGAGCTAGAATAAAACACAAAGGCTGTAATACAAATTTCAAATTCAAACCACTATATTAACATAATTTTAGACTCACATCCACATTTCCCCAAACCACCCTTTCCATGTGGTGATAAGTTTTTGTGCATTCTGGTCCCACATCATCCAACACTGTATATGACGATATTCTCGAATTGCAGTAATCATACGATTATTTATACAATGATATCTACAGATTGTTCCATATCCTGCATCACCATTCTTGTTTTCACAAGTTATTTGCCAATTTCCAATTTGCTTAACATAGCTCGGAAACAAGGAATAATGCGGTTGACAAGTCATTGGGGGTGTTATACCACCAGCTGAAAAAGTAAAAATATTACTGCAACTTACAAATTGTGACAATTGCTTTTAAACGTTTCCACCTAAATTTGAAATTATTCTTAAGCATGTAAAAGATTTGTGGACAATATTTGATATACAGATCTTAATGCAACTTTGCTTATCTCTTGGGCATGAGGTTTGATGCCAAGATTCATTCATGCTTTAATAACTATTTAATTACGCCCACAATTGGACTTTGAAACATTTCTAGGGGCATAAGTAAATAAACATTCAATTTATCCAGAAATTTTTAGACATTTGGCTGGTTATGCATCTATATCTGTATATTGATTATGTTGAGAACGGTTTTATTCTCAATAATAAATAAGTATAACTGAGGACTGCTTCATTCATGTGTAATCCGCCATTTATATTGAGATAATACTACTAAATCTACTCACACCCTCGCAGGGTGTAAATCAAAAAAGTCATCATCTGACAGATGGTGGCTGAGTGTTTTTAAAGGACAGCATGACAAATACTGTTTAAGATTTACCATAGAAATTTATGTAAAATTAAAAAAAACCATCATCATCATTAAATATTGGTGATACAATTTACAAACTTTTTGCTGTATTTTCGCGACAAATAACATTACAACTCCGAAAAATTATCATTATATACCGCCAGCAACAGCTTGTTTCCTGTTCACAAAACTTTATGATTAAAATAGGATAGGATTTACATATTTATCCCGGGGGTGAGGGAAGCCGATAAGACGGCTTATCCATATGGCGAACCACGGCCTCTCGTCCGGTTACCATTCCAGGTCGGGTATGGGATTAGTTTTACTGTATTGTTTGTTTTCGGAAGCATGGACTTGGTGGTGGAGGAAGCCGTAACCGACCAGCGGTTACGTGAACCACCCAATATTACGTTTTTTAGGGACTCACAATGCAAGTAAAAGTGTTCGAATTTATAAATGCAAATTTACGCGCAGGAGTTGATATTTTTTACGACCGTCGGCAGGTGTGGACGTGTCTGCTTGAAAGACTAGAGAATTCTACGCGCTGTGTGTTTTGGTATTTGTATCGCGTAATATCAACAAGAGCAAAGCCCATCCACCAGAATTGAAGAAGTTCATGAATAAAAGTTTGGATTTAAAGTTAATGGTGGACGATCTGTTACGGGTATATTGCGAGGTTTCGATCCTTTTAAGAAACTGGTTGTGGATGATGGAACGGAGTGCAGAAAAGATTGGACCACTGCATCTGTTGGAATGGTGGTCGTTCATGGAAATTCGATATTGATGTTGGAAGCATTGGAACGGATACAATGATTTTAAATTGAACTAATCGAAAACGACAGAAGAACCCGATACCCCAATCCATGAAATCCATTGTGCATAAACTGCTATGGAACATTCATTACCAAGCTTGTTTTTTGCAAGGAAATTGATGAACTAGGCCTACAGCATCACCGTTTTGCGTCAGGGAGTGTTTTTTTTTTTTGTTCCATGTTTTTGTAGGAAAAGCACTGTTATGTTACACATACACGTCTCACATTTTAATTTCCATTTAAAAAGTAGAAGTTTATTGCATTCAATTATTTACTTCAATTTGCTGTTTTTTGTTAAATTGCTTTCAAAGTACTGCCCGATTGTAGATGGCGTTTTTCTGTGTTTGTTTTATTCTTTTTTGGTGGGCGGGCACGTAAGTTATGCCCGTCTCCCAGGTATCTCTGCATTTTGTTTTGTCTGTTTACTTTTTGTTTTATTTATGTCAGAGAACCAAAATAAATGATTGATTGAAAACTTTAAGCTCTTCGCCTTACCTCTAATAATTGGACACGTAGTGGACATAGCGATCGTTTTATTATTATGTTCTTGTTCTTTGACACGTTTTTAAATTGCTTTGAAATTTTCAGTAGTTGAAGATGGAATTTTTTTTCTAGAAGGCTATTACTTTTATTTTTTTATTTATTTTTTTTATTTTATTTATTTATCATAAATTTTGTATGAATTCTATTAAATTTGATATTTCGTCCAAAATTTCTCTGTATTTTTATCCATGAGAACACGGATTTTAGTCCACGTGAAGACTGGCTGTACGTTTTGATTCTGCAAAATTCCTGCTACTGAAAATCTAGAATTTTCTTGATGGTACCGGTAGCATCAAAGGTACAGGTAAGGACTGATTCGCTCTCGTCTCTTTGGGCCTATATTTAAGCGTTGCTCTCTTGTTAATAAAATCATCATAAAATAACATTTAATAACGGATTGCCAAAATGGTTCAATCGGGAGATGGATCGCGCAATATATACCCTAAAGTTTGTAACAGACTCTTTCAATTATTGGTATTTTTATAAGCTCGGGTATGGTTTTAATGTGGTTGTTCAGGCCATCTTTATGTCGATAAGCTATAATTTCCGCCAAATTTCCTTCTTGCATCAATTTTTCATTCTCACTGGGGTTGGAAAAGCAATAACCGTAATTGCGTGAAAATAATCGCTTTCCTCATCAACTGCTGGATTAATTGCTTTGAAATTATGATGGTTACGGATTGTATTTTTCGCTAGAAGGTTATATCTGTTATCCACTTTAAAACTTTCTGTGGGCTTTATGTGATTGGTATTTCGAGTTTTTTTAAGGTACCGGTACTGTAAAAAGTAAGGTAGACTACTGCTTCGCTTTGGTTTTTGTATCCATATATTTAAGCATCACTCTCCTGTTAATATTATCGGTGGATCCGATTTGAAAAACATATCTGCGTCCATGGAATTCCATGGGTTGTTGAGTTATAGTGGTAAAATTGTTTTATCGCCCAACACGATGTACGCTGATACACCTAGAATAATATAGGTATTATAAATTGGCAACTTGGCCCAACTGCGCACATTTATTGTGACACATTTAAGATGTTATTCCCGATATTGGATTGAATATTTTCTTCATGAAAAAAAAATAAAACTAGCTGAAGAAGTCAGCAGTGATACCGAGTGGCGTGATCGCGCTCGGAATGTGTACTTTTGAACTCTGATTTGAGTGACAGCGTCCATGCCTTTCTGTGGTTTTAAAAATGTACGTTTGTTTGAGGATTTCTGATTGTTTCGCCACGCGATCATTCTTGGTGCTCCGAAGAGTGAAAGGTCGAACCTACATTGGTTTACGTGACGGAGAAAGTTTAATACATTGCTCTACACTCTATATATAAAACAATGATACCGCTGATGTATTAAAATATTTTCTTAAATCCAGAAAACGTTTCATTTAACGTTTAAATAAATGCTTTCGTAAATGTACTTATTTTATCGCAACTTCAGTTGGTTGGTATCAATGGAATGAAACAAAGGCCTTCGACTGCAACAAAGGCCCAGATACTGAATTCATTTTAAATAAAATTAATCCATTACTAATCTTCTCATCAAATTTCGAATAAAATGACCATTTTACACCATAGCCTAATTTTTACCAATGTGTTGAAATAAATTAGAAAATAAGTATTGGTCGAAAAATGTGAAAATATTGGAGAATTTTTATTGCGATATGTTCTATTGGGCTTGTTTTAATTAAACCTGACAAGAGAACATTCCGGAGCATAGAAAGAGTATAGAAACAATACGATTATATTGCGATCAAGTTGTGAAATGGATCGAACATTATTGCCAGCTGACGAGTTCCGAAACATTGTGTCAGAACAATTGTAGGATTGTTTATAGTTTTACCAAAAGCTTTTATTGACACTAAATAAATAAATAAATAAAATGTTGTCACAAAAAAACGGAAAAATTAAGTCAAAAACGAGAATATACATTTTTTTAAATTGCCCATATTTGAACTTGAAAAATATAGAAAATGTGCAGTGTGTCACCTGTTCTTCTTTTTGTAACGTGATCGGCATTGTAGACGCCGACCCAGAAAGGTAACTTATTTGTTGAACTGAGTTGTTATTGAAAGTTTAGCGCGAAATTTACTAAATATCCGATGTTCGAATTTTTTTTTTATTGTTATATATCATAAGCACTTCGCAATGAATGCATTTCGTGCAGGACAAGTAATATTCACACTTTACATAAATATAAGTTAGTACATTTATCAGCAAATAAACAGCACAAATATGATTGCAAAATTATGCACCGCATCAGGGTTCCTTGTGTACAGTTGTATACAAGTGGTTACCATGGAGGCGACCTACGTCACAGAGGATAACTTTGGTCGGAAGGTAAGTACCGGTATCGTAATGCTGAGT